TGAATGGTGTGGAGACAACTGGGTAACCATCTGGGAAAAGAGAAAGTTGGATCCCTACCTTGTCCCTAACATAAAGCCCAGATGGAACAGGATTGAAATGCACAAACGAAGATCAGACAAGCACCAGATCAGGCAAATATAAAAGAAATTAAAGGAAGATAGCATACAAAAACAATTTCGGCATGGTAAAGTAAGACTGTAACAAAACGGGGAGAAATAATGACAGATCAGTAAGAAGAGGACCAATAATTACACAAATGGGCAAAAAATATGAAACATGAATATGAAGCAGCTCACAGAATAGGACATGCAGGGGCACCTGGGTGGTTCAGTCAGTTAAGTGTCTGACTCTTGATCTCAGCTCAGGTCATGATCTCACGGTTGTGAGATTGAGCCCTACATCGGGCTCTGCACTCAGTGCAGAGTCTGCTTGAGATTCTCTCTCCCTCTCCCTCTGCCCCCAACCCCCGCGCGTGCGCATTCATGCTCACTCTCAAATAAATCAATAAATAAAATCTTTTTAAAAAAGAGAATAGGACATGCAAATGGCTTGCAAACACACAAACGGAGGCACATTGAAAACACAGTAAGCGGGGCGCCTGGGTGGCTGTCATTAAGTGTCTGCCTTTGGCTCAGGTCAAGGTCCCAGGGTCCTGGGATCGAGCCCCACATCGGGCTCCCTGCTCCACGGGAAGCCTGCTTCTCCCTCTCCCACTCCCCAGTGCTTGTGTTCCCTCTCTCGCTGTGTCTCTCTCTGTCAAATAAATAAAATCTTAAAAAAAAACAACACACACAGTAAAGTACCACTCTTCACCATCAGTTTGGCACACATCTGTACACTGGGTTGTCTGTGACAGTATGGGGGAACGGAGGCATCTCACTCCTGGCTGGCAGGAATGTAAATTGGAGAATTTTTAGCAAGAGCTATCAAAATTATGAGCACACCTACCTTTGACCCAGCAACTTGTGCCTGAGGAATTTATCCATGTATGAAAGTGAATATTTTTTGCAGTATCACTCATACTAGCAACACCCAAGACCAACTCAATGGGCATTGTGGGGCTTCTGGTTTGGGACCGTACCTCCATTTGATGGAAAACCACACAGCCATTATAAAAAGGCATGAGGATGCTCTCTGTAATGGGCTGATAATGTAGAAGTCTCCAAGACAGAATATGGTGCAGATCGGGGTGTATTCCATGCTACCCATTGTGTATAAAAGGGGAAAAAGCCATATTAGACATCTTTGAGTCTCTTTGGAAGGTAACATTGGTTCCTTTGCAGAGAGGAATGAGGAGTAGGATTTTTCACTTCTTTTTTTGCCTTTTGGATTTTGAGCCATGTGAATACATTACCTTCTCAAAACAAGAAGTACAATTTAAAACAGAAAATGCCATACTCTCCGGTCTAGCAATTCTGGAGCTAGATCCTACAGCTACATCTGTTGCCCATGAGCAAGGGCGTATGTAGGCAGATATTTACTGCACTGTTGCTTGGACTCACGGAAGATGGAAACAGACCCAATGTCCATAGGCACCAGCTAATGGCAGCCCATTCACACAAGAAATTCTGAGGTGGGTCTGTTTGTGCTGATAGGTTAAGAAAAGCAAAGTGCTGGTAGTATCTGGCATGTGCTGCCATTTGTTTGGTAAATATCTCTGTGGATTTGCTTCTAATCTAATACAGAATATTCCTAAAAAAACCCCCAAATCTAGCAACAAAGTTTGCCTCTAGGGAGAAAAACTAAGAACTGAGGAAGGGTGGGAGGGATCTTTTGTGTGGCTTATCTTTTACCAATGGTCCAGAATCTAGCCCTCTCCACAGGAAAAAAAAATTTACAAAAGCAAACCACTAGCTGAAGATAAAGAAAAGAAAATGAGGTCACCCCACAGGCCTTAGCCCAGTGTCTGGCATACAGGGAACCCCTCAGGCCCCTGGCTGAGTTCCCTGACTGGCTGGGAAGGCTCACAACCTCGGCAGGATGCTAAGGCTCCCGGGAGGTGTCAGGCCCTGAGGGGGCAGGCCCAAGCACATCAGGACCAGGCAGTGTGACCTGAGAAGAGGCCCGTGATAGGTCCTCAGTAAGGTGGGGGGAAACAGGGAAGCCGAAGGGCACAGAGTTGGGACTGATTGGCTATCCCCTAAAGCACGTCTCCTAAAGGCCTGGGTCTTAATGGTGGCCCTGGGTGCTTGTTTTTCTGATGCAGTTATGTGGGAAGGCCCAGGCTTGGGGAACTGGGAGTGAGCATGCTCTCTGCCTCGGTTTCTCCTTTTTTTTTTTTAGATTTTATTTATTTGAGGGGGGCTTGGGTGGCTCAGTTTTTTAAGTGTCTGCCTTTGGCTCAGGTCATGATTTCAGAGTCCTGGGATTGAGCCTGGTATTGGGCTCCCTGCTCAGCGTGGAGCCTGCTTCTCCCTCTGCCACGCCCCCTGCTTCTGCTCTCCCTCTGACAAATAAATTTTAAAAAATTAAAAAAAAAAAAAGACTTTATTTGAGAGAGAGAGAGACAGAGCATGAGTAGAGGGGAGGGGCAGGAGAGGGAGAAGCAGACTCCCTGCTGAGGAGGAAGCCTGACCTGGGACTTGATCCCAGGACCTGGAGATCATGACCCGAGCCGAAGGCATATGCTTTAATCAACTGAGCCACCCAGGCGCCCCATTCTCTGCAAGTGTTAAGACTCTGCTGGGTCCCATCATGCCAGGTGCCCTTTGAGTGGGAGAAAGGCACAATCATGGTCAGGTCCTGCCCACAATGGCCTGAGGCCTGAGCACAGCTTTACACATGAGGGCAAACCCCAGGTGTTCGACGATGGTCCCAGGTGCTCCATTCGAGCAGGCCAGACTTTCTCCTCACCCCCAGCTACTTGGTCCTGGACCTGTTCACCCAACACCACTCCACTGCGGACAGCTTTTCCCGCACAACTCTGCCCTTGGTGGCAGAGGGGTGGGGAGCCGTAACCCTGGCAGTGCACGCACAGGGCTCTTGGGTGGGAGCCAGGCGCCCAAGCAGTCAGGAGCAGCAGGTGACAATGCAGGCTGGGGCGAAAGTCTCCTCAAGGGCCCCACACCCCTCTCCTCTAGTCCTCAGCCGGCGGTACTCCAGCTGCATCAGTGTAGGGTCTTCTGAGCCCTGGACTTTCAGGTAAACTGAAACCTGGATTGTGCCATCAAGGGATTTGGTTGGCTCTGGCCTTTTCAGCCCCGGGGGTCAGAGATGGGGCAGTGGAGGGCCAGGTACTCCTGCTGATGCGCTCTTCTTTCAGCCCCCCAGTGCTAGAAGGCAGCAGTGGGTCAGAAGTGGGCAGTGCAGGGAAGGGCTGGGCTGAAATGGGGCGAGGGCACCCAGGCTGCTCCTCCCTTAGAGGCAGGCTGAAGGTCCCCGGGGCCACCAGGCACTGAGAACCACAGGCAGCTTTGCCATCGGGGCCCTGCCCAGGGTCTGGCTGCCCTCCCCTGGGATCCAGGCCAATGCCAGCACTGGGCCACAGGGGATTGTCCTTGGTGGCAGCTGGGTGGGCGCCAGTTTAGTAGTCCCCCTCAGGCGGCTGCAGATTCAGGGTGGGGAGGAGCCTGCCCAGACAGGCCTGGTGCCCCGCCTACCCGACCGTTCCCTCTCTCCTGCAATGAGCCCCCCACCAGAGTACCTCCCCTCGGCTCCTGGGAGCCTTCGTGATGGCAGGGAGCGGAGGAAAACCAAAACAGAAGTCAGCCCTCTCGGCCAACATCAAAAGGCAAGACAGCTGGGTGGAGTTCCGATCAAGGGCAAGAGCAGTGCCTGGGAGACCAGCAGGCCTCAGAGGTCTGTTTTTAAGAACAGGGTAGATGGAAAGGCACTATCCTCAGAGTGCCAGGGGAGGGGCTAAGCACACAGCTCGAGCCCTTGATCCTGGACCCAGGACCCCACCCACAAGAGCCTTAGGACCGGGGCGCCTGGGTGGCTCAGTTGGTTGCGCGGCTGCCTTCGGCTCAGGTCATGATCCTGGAGTCCCGGGATCGAGTCCCGCATCGGGCTCCCTGCTCGGCGGGGAGTCTGCTTCTCCCTCTGACCTTACCCCTCTCATGTACTCTCTCTCTCTCATTCTCTCTCTCAAATAAATAAACAAAATCTTTAAAAAAAAAAAAAAAAAGAGCCTTAGGACCTGACACACCGGCCAGGGACACACTTGATGTCATCATTTTTATTCACTTTCTCTTTGAAAGTAAGAGTAAACATACATTATATATATGTGTGTGTATATTATGTGTACTATGGTATACGTATATACATATGTGTATGTGTAAGGATGTAACGCTATGAATGTTACAGTTACCGCAGGGGTCAGAAAACAACCCTCCCCCACTCGGAGGCAATTTTCAGTTCTGGCATTTAATGGAGGGGGAAAAAAGTGTCCGTGATTGCCAAAAGCAGAATCTGTCTTTATTATTAAACAGCAGTACAGGAAAACCTAACGCTCTGTCAGACACAACTGAAATCTGGGAGGCCAGGGGGAGGGTAGCAGACACTAAGGAGAAACCCCAAAGAAACCCCAGATGGGAAGCACCCCGCTCACCCACGTGCCCCATCCCTCAGTCCTGTTCCTGCTCCAGGAACACGGGGGACGCCAAGGACTATACTACAGGCAGTCACCGTCTTCGGGGGCAAGAGAAGGAGTGGGGTGAGGGGGTGTGTGCAACTGCCGGGGAGCAGAAGCCTGGGCCGGGGCTTTGGACGTTTCTGCCCATGTTGCCCGTATGGGTCAGTGCTCAGGAGGCTGAGGCCCGACTGGTACAACCGCAGGGGCCCAGCCTGGGTGGATGCAGAGAGGGAGGGTAGGGGTGTAGGCCCCGGGAGCCCCAGACCCGACAGAAGGGCTCTCCTGGCACACCAAGGGACTCTCCACACACACCAGGACAGCCTGGCTCGAGAGCGGGCATGGGGAGGCCCTCTAACACTGACCCAAGAGAGACTGAGGGGCAGGGAGCTTCGGGAGAAGCCAGGAGCCCGGGGAGGGAGCCGCAGAGTCGCCTGCAGGCATCGGTCGGGAAAAGGAAGAGAAGAACCCCAGGTCTGCCCGGTCAGCTTCTGTGGCCTCTCTGGCTCTATGTCCTTTGGCCTCCTCCTCACCTGACCCTGTCAGCAGCAACGGAAGAGGGGAGTCCCCGAGCACAGGGGTACACTGCGATTTCACTCCAGGAGGAATGCTGCCCTGCCCTGAGGACCCACGCGGGCCCGGCAGTCAGGACCAGGGAACTCCATGGTGGCCAGGAGCCTTGCTCGGCCTCTCCAGAAAGGAGGTGCTGCCACTCCCAGGGGACTCCTTGTTGGGGCTGGCAGAAGGCTGGGGTGGGCACTGGATGGGGCCTCAGTTCTTGAGGATGGTCTCGTAGGCCTGGTACACGTGTTGGGACACCTCTGGCGCTCGACATTTCAGGGACAGCTGCAGGGGGGAGAGAGGTCAGGGGATGGAGAGGGCTCAAAGTTCCCCGGGCTCCTCTCTGGGGCTGGGAAGGAACCCAGGGAGGGAGGAGAGAGTGAGAGCCAGATGGAAGAGTGTGGTGCGCACACGTGGCCTGCTGGTGGCGCGGCTGGGACAGCTGTGTAGTAAAGCAGAGGGGGTGGCTGCCACGGCCAGCTGGGTGCGGACCAAATATATTCGCAGCCCACACACCTGCCGTCAGCCCGGCCCCCGCGGGCCTCACAGCGTGAATCATGAGCTGGCGGGGAGGGCCCAGCCCCCGGCCCACAGAGCCGCTGGGGCCCTTTCCCCCCTGGGAAGGCCTGGGGTCTCCGAGGAGGTATGGGCGCTGAGAGGGCGCAGGTCTCTGCTTGGAGAGATGGGGGCGGGGGCACCGGGGAGTCTTCCTGGGTTCCAGCACACGAGGCGAGGCGTTGCCACAGTGGGAGCCGAAGAGCAGGCAGAGAAGCAAGTGCCACCAGCACTTCTGCCAAAATCACTGCTGCCCCAGGGGGCGATGAGGAAGGGGAGGAGCGCATGACGCTCCGGAAGCTGGCAGTGGTGGCCCTGCGGGGCCCTGATCTCCTCTGAAGGGCTCTGTGCGTGCTGTGCGTGCTGGGAAGTGGGGGTACCAGCTCCTCAATCGGGTTCACCTGGCTGGGAAGCTCTGCGGTGCTCCGTGCCTGCGGCCTGCACGCATGGCTGCCGGGCTTTGGGGAGCAGCAGGGGGAGGCGGGGCTAGGAGAGGCAGGGTGCACTGGAGCCAAGCCAGGAGATGGGCTGTGCAAGGTGTGGCTGGGGAGGGTGGAGGGGAAAGAGGAAGAGAAGAGCAATCTGCTAACCTCCAGGTCCTGCACCACGGGCACCAGCAGGGAAGGCGGGCATGCAGCAACCAAACACAGGGAGATGGAAGTTACCACCGCCGAAGCCACTGCCGCAGCCCCCGCCCCACCTCAGAGCCAGCGCCGCCCCGCAGGGCCCGGGGAGCAGTGTCTGGAGGGCCACGCCTGCCAGAGACCGGGGTGCAGGGGGGAGAAGCAAAGCCCGGCACTTTCTGGGGCCTGAACAGCAGCACGGCCGCCAGGACAGCCACGCACTCCGTGGAAGCCATGTCCTGACTGCGGTCTGACACAAAGGCCAGGAAGGACACGGTGCTCGCCAGCAGTGCCCTCCCAGGCAGGCCCTTGGGCAAGGGAAGAGCAGGAGGAGGGCCAGGGCCTGGGCCCAGCAGTGCCATTTCCCAGTCAGGTGGGCCTTGGGCCAACTGGGCCACCTCACGGGGCCCAACTGTATAGAATTTTCTAGTCCAACTCACTGTTTGGTGACACAGTTTGGTGTCTTATCTGGGTAACCAGATGGGACTGAGTTGGAAGCGAGGGTCAGAATTCTGATGCTCATTCATTTCAGGTTCAGAGGGACCCCAACCTAGCTGGGCTAGAGTGCACCCCATCAGACTGACCCCTGGTCCGGGAAGAAGAGAGGGAAGGAGAGGCTGCCCGGAACATGGGAGGTAGACACGCCAGGGCTGGCAGGGCAGGAGCGGGGACCCTCACCGTGAAGCTGGGGTTGCCCGGCTGGATACGCAGCTCCGCCAGCACCCAGATGCCATTGGTCAGCTTCAGGGACTGGTAGAGCATGTCCTGGCCCTCCACATTCCTCTTGGCAACCGTGAAGATGTTGCTGCTCTGTAGTCTGCCGCTTACAGCCTCTGAGAGTGAGAAGGGCCCCCAGTCAGTGGTGGGAGAGGGCCGGGGGTACAGGTGAGGGGCAGTGTGGATGGGGTGGGAAGGTGGGGGAGGGCTGGAGAGTCCTACCCGCATTGAGGGGGCAGTCTCTGATCTGGAACTGGGCTTCATTTTCATTGGGAATGTCCTTCCACGTGGCCAGGAACATCTGCCGGTCTGCAGGGGCACAAGGTAGAAGACAGGATCCTGATAAACCTGGGGCCCCACTCAATAACATCCAGCAAGAAATGGGTCTTTTGGGGGCGCCAACTTGAAGCTGAAGACAGGCCCTAGGTCTGCCATGGCCCCCTCCTGCTTCCCCGAACAAACCTTCAGCTCCATGACAGCGGCCACCAGGGCTGCTCCCAAAAGATCCTGGGCTTCCCCCCCTCCCCTTGGGCCTTAAATCCTCCTTCCCAGTATCCACATATGCACTCCCACCTGCTCTGGCCCAAGCAGCCTGCCCGTGAATCACAGCCTGTGTCACAGGGCTTCTGTGGTGACCGAGAGGTGACATGGGCAAAGTCCTTTGCTCAGCTCTGAGCTGGCAGCCCTCCCAGCATGGGGATGAGTCTTCTTAGGGGTTCCAAGCAGCGCACAGGAGATGGACATTGAGTGTGACATGGTCTGGGCTCCCCAGCTCAGGAGGCCGTGGGAGGGCTGTCTAAGGACTATGGGCAAGGCGGAGGGGCGGGCAGAGTAGAATTCAGGAGTGACACAGCTCCTGCATGGCATGGCCCCCACTGTGGGACAGAGCTGGCCAGACAACACCCAGGGGTCCTTGACGGAGGTGTGACCCTCGCCTCAGGCTCTGAAGAGGGGCCGGTGACTCATAGACTCCATCGTGGGGCCAAGCCAATCGTTATATTCCAGGGACTCTCGGGGCACCCTCAGGACTCACCCATCTTCCCATCCTCCACAAAGAGGATGTGCAGTGGGTACAAAGTGCTGAAGTAGAAGACGTCAATGTTGTTCTTCACGGCCACCTAGGAACAAGGCCACCCAATCGGTCCCTGAAGCTTGATACCACCTGTGAAGCCCCAGGAAGGGCCTGCTCCCTGTGCCTCCACCTGAGCAGGTTCCCTCACACACCTTCCCTGGTAACCATGCCCCTCTGTCCCCTCGGATCAGGTCTCCCCTGCCAGATCTCTGGCAAAGAGCACAGCTCCAAAAACATACCCCTTTGCCAACAAAGGCCAGGCCCCAGACCCCTCCAGCAGGCTCCTCCCCTGTGGTAGGTGGGAAGCTAAGGAGTGGGGTGCTTAGCCCTGCCTGGAACACACCTGGAGGTTGTTCAGAGGCTCCATCTTCATGACCGAGCCCACCGTGTTGAGAGGCAGGGATATCTCCACAGTCTGGTTGGGGCTGAGTGGTGCGTGCACCTGGAGGGGGGCAGCAGGGGCCAGGCCGAAGCTGGGGAGAGAGAAGCCCCCGCGGGAATGGCAGGGGAAGCAGGTGCTGACGTGGGATGGGTGGGCTCCTCAGGTTCCAGAGCTAGGGCAGCAGTTGGCAAGAAGCCTCTCCAGTAAGCTGGCGTCACCGGAGCTCTAGGCCCAGGACAGATGGACAAGTTCCTGACCCCCACTCTCAATGGCTGTGTGGACAAGAGGAATGAGCCCTGGGCCAGCTGCAGGCCCAAGGGCATCTCAGCTCCACTTTCTCTTCTGGGCTACGCACCGAGCAGGCCCAGGTGAGCATGGCCTTACTCTGTCCTGCACTTGAGAAGCTCCAGCTAACACCAGGGGCCTGAACTATAAGCTGCTTCTAACTGAAGACTCTGAATGCCCAAGTTTTTGCTACCAATCCCCATCTTCCAAGAAGGATGTGACCATCCCAAGTGAGACACCAGGTTTTACTGTCTGGGCTAGAATTGGCCAGAGATTCAGGAAAGCCCTACTTCTCAGTAAAGCAACACGTAGGTAAATCAGGAGGAGAGGATCCCCATGAGCATGACACACAGGACCATAAAGCAACAGCTCACTGTGCCCAGGCTGGGCATTTGATATTATACCAACTCCTACCCTCATAAAAACAGAGAGAGGTATACATTCTCTCATCTTCCAAGACATGGAAACTCGGAGGGGCAGGCCTGTGCTCAGACCCTATGGGATGAGTAGCACGGCTGAGGATCCAGAGCTTGAGCTGCCTGACCTGGCCTGCACTCTGCCCACGATGGCAATCAGACCTGCCTGGGACATGGTGGGAGACGATGTGGGGAACCCCAGGCCTCTGTGGTGGCCCACTCTTCAGGCTTTCCTGGAAGATCCCCCAGAGCCTGCTGTGTGATCCTGGGCAAGGCACTGGTCCTCTCTGAACCCAGGTGTCATTAACTACTGAAAAGGGAAAAATGGCATTGACCTCACTGGGCTGTCAGGTAGCTCAAAGTAAGATAATACTTCTAAAGTCCTCAGCACAGGGCCTGCCACCCAGGGTGTTGTCAGCACGCTCTAAGTCTGTTGTGAGTAATCGTCGAGACTTCCCCCTTGGAACCTGGAGTGCTTCTATGAACTCTAGGGCCATCTGATGATAACTAGCAGAGCTGACAGAGGGTCAGGACCCACCGGCCTGCGGGCTCTCCTTGAGGAAGCAGCCCCTTCAGTCAACTTCTTAGAGGCTCAGTTTGCTCATCACTAGAGCCGCTCAGGAAGAAGAATCATCAAGAGAGGCTGCTTGGGTCCCCCAGAGAGCCCTGGCCTAGCTGATCTGGTCCATGAAGACCCCAGTGGTACCAGAGAGGAAACCTTCCCCAGGACGTCCAGTGCAGGGGACCTAGTGGGGTGAGGAGCCTGGAGCAGCCACTACTCCTAGAGGCCCCGTCTGATGGTTTAAACCTGTGTCACAAGGGGCTGGCTGGGATGCAGGCCCGCTCCCCGTCAGCCCTCTTGGAGCTAGGCACTGAGATGGCAGCAACTTAGGCCTGGAGAGGAGGCTCCATCCTGTCATGTGGGGTGTTTGCCAAAGGCGGGCTCCTAGTCTGGAGCTGGGGATTTTTGTTAGCAAACACTCTTTGAGCAGTGGAGGAAGGCGAAAATAAGGGGAGACAACCTACCCCTCTGCCTGGTACTTTGGAGTCCACATAAAGAGGTCGTGGGGAAGGGAAAAAAAAAATCATTGCTTTAGAGAGTTTTGGCCTGAGATGCAGTTGTGAGGCACCAGACCCCCCAGAGCTCTTGGCCCCTGCCTGCGGTCACCAGCAAGGGCTCTCATCACACTGGCCTTGGGAGCTCTCACCTGTTGCGGTTAAACTGGATGGCAAAGTCAGTCATGACCTGTAGGGCCTTGTTGGTCAGCTGCAGGTCCATGGAGATGGAGCCCACCTGGCGGGTGAAGGTACCTGAAATCTCCAAGCCCTTGGCCTTCATGGCCGGAAGCCACACCTGTAGGGAAGACAGTGGAGGAGGCTCGGGTCTGCCACACCCCTAAAAGTTAACAGCCCGCCTGAGGCGACCCACCCCCCACCCAACTCTTCTCCTCTACCGTCTTCTCTCCCTCTCCTTTAGGGGCCTCCCAGATTGACCACACCTGCCTTTACCACTAGGAGATGGTCATGTGGATCTCGGGATGAGAGGAACAATCCCACATGGCCTACCCAGGGCCACCACCACAGTGTGGCTATGTATCTGAGCAGCGTGGTGTAGAGAGGTGCCTGGTGTGCCCAAGAGCTGACCTGAGTCTTCAGAGGTCCAAGAAGGAACACTCGGTAAGTAGTGGCGACAAAGGGGATGAGATAAGTGGGCCCGGCCAGCCTCCTGAAGAGCCAAGTAGAGTTGAGAGGAGCCCAAGGCCTCCCTGGCTGTCACAGTCTGTCCTTCCTCACAGAAGGCAGGGCTGGCCTTTTTGTTGTAGAAACTGGGCTCACCACGGACAGTACCTAAGAGGACCTCTCGCCTGGCAGGCCCTCTGCTGCTTGGCTGTCACAGGAGTCTCAGCTCAAGAGCCGCCTCCTCTGGGAAGCCTGCACCTAGGTTCCTTCCCTACATCCACATCCACCTACTATGACATTTTAGCAGATAAATGTGAGCCTGTGTGTCTGTCTCTCCTGCATCCAGTCAGCTCTTTGAGGGAAGGGCTCTGCTTTTCTTTTTTACATCCTTGGCTTAGAGCTTGCTGTGGCACGGGCATTCAGGCAGTGTTTGCAGAGCGAAGCTTGAATTAAAGCCCCAACCATGAAGGACATCTGCAGGCGTCATCCAGGGCCATGCAAATGCCTTTGAGGCCCTTATTCTCTCAGATCCCTCACAGCCCCTTCCCCGGCCAGAAGTCAAAAGGCCCAGGCCTCCTTGAGAGCTGCCCATGTGTCGGTGAACATCTCACTGTCTCTCAAGGTGCCAACACCAGGAACCTCAGAGCTGTCTGGGTCCCCACCCTCAGCCGACCCCAAGCCCCACCCCACAGTCACGCAGCCCGGGCCCGTCCCCACCACCTCCTCCACTGCCGCCAGGGCCTCTGCTTCTCTCAGCAGGCAGCATGTGCGTCTGGGCCACAGTCAGGAGTCCACCAGGTTAAGACAGCAGCCCCCGGGGGCACCCCAATCCCTCCCCCTGCTCTCCACAGCAGCTCAAGTCATCTTCTAAAGTGCAAATCTGGGGGCACCTGGCTGACTCTTGAGCTTGGGGTCATGAGTCTGAGCCCCACATGGGGCAGAGAGATCACTTAAACAAATAAAATTTAAACCCCTCCAATGCTGCGACACTTCCACCGCCCATGGCCTCCATGTCCTGGCACCTGCCTCCGCCAGGCTTCGACTGAACCTGCTCCTCTGCCCCCTGCCCCACCCTGTCCCCTCTGTCTGGAAAGTGCTTCTGCAGGCCCACCCCCACCCCCACTGTACTCGCTAACCTGATCATCCTTTGTTTTCCTGGGACAAAGGTGTGAGGGCAGAATCACAGGGCTTCAGCCTCAGCTGAGACAGGCAAGCAGAGAGCTCCGAGCCACCCCCCACCCCGCCCCACGGGCCACCTTTCACAGCTCTTGCAGAACTGCCTCTGTCACTGAGACTAGCTATTGCCCGTGGAGACCTCTTTTCTCTTGGTCACCATGGCTTCACGGAGTCTAGCACAGGTCCTACCACGGAACTAACCCTCAACATTTACTGAAGGACCCAAGGAAACGTCACCACCCACTGGTCCAAAGACATGAGGAACTCCCAAGTTCTTGCGCAGAAAAAGCCTCATTCCCTTGACCAGGAAGGTTAGAGAACACAGTTACCCCCACAGGTGTGGTGGGGAGAATGCACCTGGGACAAACCATTCCAGGCAGTCACATGGCTAGGGAATCGTAGCTGACACACCCACACCCCAGAGACTCCTGTGTCTAAGATAATGGGGAAAGTCCTGTGTTGTGAGAACTCTTCCAGGCAGCCTGCCCTAAATTCCTCTGACCAGGTGATCCCCTAACCTCTCATTTCTAGCACTCACTGTTGGTCCGCCCATCTGGGCCTCCACTAAGGAAAAGCAGCGATGGGGCGCCTGGGTGGCTCAGTTGTTAAGCGTCTGCCTTCGGCTCGGGTCATGATCCCAGGGTCCTGGGATTGAGCCCCACATTGGGCTCCCTGCTCAGCAGGAAGCCTGATTCTCCCTCTCCCACTCCCCTGCTTGTGTTCCCTCTCTCGTTGTGTCTCTGTCAAATAAAAAAATAAAATCTTAAAAAAAAAAAAGACAAAGCAGCGGTAGCATCCGTTAAAATGAACACACACACAAAGGGCCAGCTCTGGACTTCATATTCCTGGCACCTCTGCAGTCCTGGCAAGGCCTGGTGCCCACAGGATTGCAGGAGTCTTTGCTGCTCTTCTATCACTCGGTCCTGCCTTATGCCTGTTACATTGGGCTTTTAACATGTATGCGCTGGCCTCATGCACGGAGGCAGCCAGTCTGGGTAGTAATTAGTGATTCTGACGACCCAGGACATTAAGGCACACAGGATGTTCTCAAACAATATGAGGCAGGCTCATATCGGGATCAGGAATGGGGGCTTTGGTGCCACCAACCTGCATTTAGTTTTGACTCTGTCACTTAGCCGCTGTGACCTTAGGCAAAAGCATTCAAGATTTGTCCACCGCAGAGCAGGAAGAACGGTGCCATCAGGCTTCTGGCGGGATTCAGTGGGGCCTGCAGTCCCTGGCACATCTGCCCGGAGCTCTGGCCACCACCGCTGCAGGTGCGGCTGCCGCACTGGGTGAGGCCAAGGCAGGCGCTGGCTCACAGCTCCCCAGGCCCAACCGAGAGCTCACCTCACCCCTAAAGCCCAGCAGCGTCCTGCTCTGGGGAGGGGATTTTGGAAGAGAGAGAGGGGCTCTGGCTGGGAACGAAGTGGCAGACACAGTGTCTGCCCCGAGCACTGAGGGGGTCAGGCCAGGTCCATGCCCTCTGGCAGCTTCCTTGATGCTGAGGCTGTGGCCCACACCGCGCTCTCCTCAGTGCCAGGCCCACGTGTCCCTGCCTCGCAAACCCAGCTCTCCATCCCCAGCCATCCCACTGCTGGAGCCATCATCCCTCCTTTCCCACCAGCCCCCACATCCTGCCAGCTCCACCTCCCCAGGAGCTCTCCAGTGCAGCCTTTTGCCTCCGCCCTCAAAGGTGCCCTTGTCCAGGCGCCATCAGTACACAGGACTTCCTGCCGGTCTCCTCACTGGGCACCTTGCTTCTGTCCTAGCCCTTCCAACCTACCTGCTACAGTGTAGCCAATGCAATCACTCTCCAGTGCAAATCCGTTTCATCTCTGCTTAACCTTCTAACGGCTCTGCCCCACCAGGACTGAGAGAGACCCTCACGGCCTGGCAATGTGGACCTTGCCAGTTTCTTCCCTCCCTAATCTCTAGTCTAGGCGGGAGTCTTGGGGAGTACCAGGCCTAGGCAGCATGGTGGGCATCTATGGGGCAAATGCAGGTGGCATAATGGTGGGGTCAGGGATGCTGGATGTGCTGCCGGAAGGACAACAATCCCCTCAATGAGCAACTCTCCTGCATCCCTTTCAATATATCCTGAAATTGCTGGGAACCCAACTATGGTGAAAATCAAAGAAAGCCTGTTCTTTGTTTTATGAGCACTTTACTGGGAGTCAGTCACCATTTCAGGAACTAAAGGCACCACTAGCCTCATGGTTCCAGCACCTGCGCTACAAACGCTAGGTGTGGCCGTCAACTCCCGACAACTTCATCAAATCTTCTGGGGCGGGTGTACCCAAGCCTTAACAAAACTAAAATGTATCATTTTATTTTCTTCCCTTTGTGTCTCCTTTATGAAGTGCTGGCGTCTTACTAATTTTGAAGTGATACGTATAGCTAGGCTGCACAGTCCACACATCTCCTTTGAGCACAGGAAACAAAGGACACATTAGACAACGTGTATCATCAATAAGGGGCACCAGGTGGGACAGCCCTGAGAACTGCTGCTCCAACTAGATGGGACCTCTGCCAGTTCTCTGGGAGGTGCGGGCTCTCCCTCCCCTCCAGGCCTGGCCACAGGCTGTGATAGCCACCTAGAGCCTTCTCCCCATTTTCACCTAATTCTGACTTGATCCACAGGCCTGAGCCCCAGCAACCCTGCTCTGGGAGGTCTTCCCAGGACCCCGGGACCAACCCAGCATCTCTTCCCTGTGCTCCCAACAGCCCCTGGCTGCCCTCAGCATCGTGTTAGCAAACTGTTGCTCCTGGAGCCTATCCCTGTTGGCCTGAGCCGATTCCATGGAACGGGCCATTTAAGGAACCCAGACATCAATGAGTGTCTAACTTCCCTCTGCTCCTGCCACGGGAGGAGGTATGGTACTTACTGCTTTGGGGGCCACATACGACCCTGACAGTGTGCCCACGCCACTGGTCAGGTCAAAGAGGTCACTCAGGCCACTGCCCATGGATGCTCCTAGGTTGGCTGGGACTGCTGCTGCTGGGGGTGCCACAAAGTTGGGGCCCCCAATCTGAAAAGGAAGGGAAAGGGGTCAGAGGCAGGCATTAGAGGTGGGGACATCAGGGGCCCGGCATGAGTGGAGCAACCCGGCACTTAGAAAATGGGACGGGGCAGGAGGGGGGGCTGCGGGGCTGCTGTCACACCAGCTTTAAGTTGCAGAGATGACAGGATGACGGGGGTGGAAAAGACTGTGCCCTCCTATGACCTGCAAGCCTCCAGCCTTAGGGGTGACCTCTGGGAAAGGGCTGGGACACGGGTAAACTAATCCACAGCCCACCGATAAAAGGAGTACCCGGGACCACTGCTGAGAGGCTGTGTTAAGTGGACAGGAGCACTAGGATGTCACAGAGGGCCCGTGGAAACCGAGAGCATGGGTGATCCTCGGGATGACAAGGCAACTTTGTCTTAGGGTACTGAGGATGGGACACTGGATAGAAGGCCATGGCTCAGCAGGGAGGGATTGCTTTGACATCATCCACCCCTTGGGATGCTGGGCCAGCACTCAGCAAGAGCAGAGACAAAGGCTTGGTGGCGCAAGGGTTGAACCATACCCCTTCAGGCTCATCCCCCATCTCCAAGCAGAAGCAGGCAGGTTGAAGAGAACAGGCAGCCACATGCAGAGAGAAAAGCCAGGAAATAAGACAGAGACAAGAGAGAGGGAAAGAAAGAAAAGATTAATCACTGCTGCTCCACTGAGAGGAGTCTGGGGCGAAACAGCGCCAGGCTTAAGGGGGGGCCCAGACCATCTCCACGAAGGGCACTACTTCTGGGGCTTCACTCCACCACCCACGTCTTGTGCCATGGCCCTTCCTACCCTTTCCTATGTGATGCCCTGGGGACCTGAACCAGACATGGCCAATTGACAGGGGCTCTGCTACCCCCTCCTGCTGGCTCTACCAGCTGCCTGAAGCCCCAGGGAGATACCCAGTCTAGTCTTACCACCCCCTTTCTACAGGGGAGAAGGGACTGTCCCTGACCCCTCATGGGCCTCTCAGGCCTCCTGGGCTGTTGCCCCAAGCTGGTGCAGGGTGTGAGAGTAAGTGGACACCGGTCTGGCTCCTCTAGTCCTACAGGCTCCAGATCTCTTGGGGCTCAGTGGCCTGGCAAGGGACTAAGTCCGGTGTCTGCCACATACTGTGTGCTCTTAGAGGGAAGGTTACCTGAAGCCTCAGTTTTCTCCCTTTTAGGTAGGGAGTGACACAGTCACCTTTGCAGACAGGTGTACCCTGAGGCCCTTGGTTGGTGAATGGCACAGACAGGGTGCTCAGTGATTGTTCCTCTGAAGGTCGTTATCAATGTCATCCAGAGGGGGCCCCAGGACATACCAGGCTGTCGAGGCCTCCACCAAGAAGGTCCACAGCTCCCATCTGCACTGAGGAGGTGGCCAGGGGTGGGCCGCTCACCGGGGGGCCAAGGTCCAGGTTGAGGAGGTCACCCAGCAGGTCGCCTTGGGTGGGGATGACATCTGGCTGCTCACTAGAGGGCGCTCCGGCAGGGGCCGTCTCAGGGCTCTCTGTGCTCTCGCTCCTGTGATGACACAGGAGGGTGAGGGTCAGTGGGGTGGGCGCTGGGCTGTTTCAGGGAGGTCAGAGTCCTCAGTCTCCAGGATAGGCACCTGGGTCTCCACACTGCTCCAGAGGGCTGTCTACAGGCCCCCTCCTCTTCCCCCTTCCCACGTCTGATCCATCTTTTTGGCTCTCCAAGAGATCCAGCATCATGGGGGTGATCAAGGGAGGGGCCCTCTGTATTTCCACCACTCAGGGCACTCTAAAGACAGGATGCCTGCCCTGGAGGACTGGGCACCTAGGCCAAACCAACCACCAGGGGGTGGCAGAGGAGGGTGAGAAGAACAGGGCTCTGGAATTAGAATCGGGTCTGGGCCTAGCTGTGCCGGCTGTGGGATGCTGCCCCAGGCCCTCAAGCTCTCTGTCCTATTGTCCTTGTATGTTAAATGGGGATACCTCTTAGAGCTATTGTAAGGATCAAATGAGGTCACCCTGGTATGTAGTAAACAGTCATTAAAAAGTCACTAGAATGGGGGCGCCTGGGTGGCTCAGTAGGTTAAGTGTTGGACTCTTGGTTTCAGCTCAGGTCATATCTCAGGCAGTGGGATCAAGCCCCATATTAGGCTCTACGGTCACTGTGAAGTCTGCTTGAGATTCTCTCTCCCTCTCCCTCTGCCCCTCCCGCTGCTCGTGCACATGCTCTCTCTCTCTCTAAAATAAATAAATAGATTAATTAAAAAAAAAAAGTCACTAGAATGGTAATTTCCCTCAGACTCAGGCCTGGCCAGGGGTTACCACATCAGGCCTGAGTGCCTGGGCTAATGAACTGGAAAACCAGGTGGGAAGGCTCAGCCTGGACACTGGCCCACTTCACTCACGAGGCAGTGCGAGGTGGCAGGCTCTTGTGCACAACGCCCCGGCCCCCCTCCACAAAGGCACTGGGAGGCTTATGGTAGACAGACGCCAGGGTGCCAATGTAGCAGATGAGCTCGTCCAGCAGTGTGGGCTCAATGAGGTCCGTCTCTTCAGAGATGAGTGGCTTCTCAGCCAACACCACCTCCTTGGCAGCCACTGGGTCCGTGGAGAGCAGACGCCAGTAGATGTAGCCACGGTCCCGCAAGTCCGGGTTATCAGAGTCCTTAAGCAGTGGGAGGTGATGAGAAGCATATTAAACTCAGAGCAGAGCAACTAGCTGAGCAGGAAGGAGCTCCTCCCAAAACCCCGTGACCCAGGCATGGTCACAGCGCGGGCCGACGACACTGATTCTGAGAGTCCCACGAACCCGTCCCTAATCATGGCCTGGCCCCTCAGTTTCCTCCCCCGGCCCAGGGTCACACGGTACATTCCCACTCCTGTCCCCACTCCTCATGCCCCTCCAAAATCTGCCTTCCCTACCCTACAAATCCTCTGGTTCTTCTGGACCTCCCTCCCCTCTTTTGTTTGCAGTCTGTCTCAACTTCGCCACCTGACCCACTCCGTCTTGATTTATCTGTGACTGGGTTCCCTGAGCAGGAATCCTGGACCACTCTGGGCCAATCCCCCAGTGAGGCCAGTCTTAGGGGCAGGACCTTGGCACAAAGGTCTGGCTGGCTCCTTGGACCAAAGTGTGCCCTGTGGAGTAAGACCTACATGGGGCGCAGCAGAGAGGCTGGGGCACTGACCTGAGTGGCCAAGCTGAGGACCTGCTGCACCAGCTCCTGGGTCTCTGTAGGCTTCTTCAGAAACAGTTTCACGATGGCTGTCAGTAGCTGCAGCTGGACCTGCAGGAAGACAGAGAGGTGACAAGGAAGAAGTAGCAAGGGCTTCATGTGGGGATGGGAGGAAACCAAATGAGGGCCTTAAAAGACAGAAAAGGGCATTTTTCAAAGGCCCTGGAAGCTGAGAGCAGCTTTCCTAGGTTTGGAGTTGGCCACAGAACAGACTAAGGCCAGGGGGCTGTTGGTAGTGCTGAGTAGCCTGGACCCTGGCATTACCACTCAGGAAGGAGCTGGCCACGACTATTTGGCAACCCTACCCTAGGGTCCCAGAAACCTGTCAGGGCACCCAGCCTCACAGTGCCTTAAGGAGTTCGCAGCTTAAAAAGGCAACTTGTGTAGCTGGTGTGCTTCTTAAAAGGACCATCTGTCAACAAGCGGAGATGGTGCCAGCGACAGACTGGGCCAGGAGGGCCCACAGAGTCAGCCAGTCATTGAGGAGCAGGGCTTCTACCAGAAGGTGGGAACCACTCCTGCCCAGCCCTCTCTCAGCCCCCGTCTCTCACCCTGCTGCAGCTGCCTTCACCTGATCATGCGCCCGGCTGCCCTCAGCCTGGCCAACATCTTCTCACCCCTCGGAGCTCATGCTGTCCCCAGCACCCCCACACTTCTGCAGCCTCCTGGACCCCCTCCTCAGCACTGCCCCACAGTATTAGAAATGCTTTCCAGTCACCAGCCTGTCCTGTGAAGACAGCCCTCTGAGGGCAGAGATCATGCCTGTCACAGCTGTATCCCTGGTTATTGCTCTATCGAGTGTCCAGTGCAGGCACTTGCTAACTCAAAAAACATCTCTGAAAGAACAATTCTATGCACATAGCCCTTCCTTAGCCACATCTCACTTCTGCCAGTCCTGGGACAAGAGGGCAGCCTGAGGCTCCTGAGCCCGGGCTGTGCCAGGGACAGGCCTGTGGCAGGAGGGAGGGAACCGGGCATGGTCGGCAGGATGAAGGCACAGAGAGTGGGCTGATAGCAGGAGGCAGGATGGAGGAGATGTGGTCTGCTTCTGGAATCAAGCAATCCAGAGTCCTGGTCATTCAGTTACATGTGGGCCAACAACAGAGGAGCAGTGGGCTGGCTAGGGGGCAGGGTAGGGGGTAGGGGGCAGCCCAGGGACTGGCTTCTAGAACCTGGCTACAGCCCTTGGCCAGGCAGTCCAGGGCAAGCTATTTCTCCTCATTTGGTGCAGAGAAGGGTGGCCTGCTTCAGGAGGTTCTTGTGAGCTCATAAAATCACAACTTATGACTGCTGACTTTGAAGCCAGAGTTACATCACACCTCATTTGAACGTGACTCTGGACAAATCATGTAACTTCTCTGAGTCCACTTCCTCATCTATAATGTCAGTATAAATACCTCACAGGTTTAATGGAAGAGTCCATGAGACAAGAAATGTGAAGAACCCATCATGTATTCTGCTCAACACACGACACCTGTCACCATGGCCATCAATATCACCATAGCCAGCACACAGGGATTCTTTACAGAGTCCTCCTCAATCCAGGTCAGCTGGCTGCCTGGCATCATTCATTACTGTCGGGTTTGCTCTACCGCCTAGGAACTTGGGCCACCAGCCCGAGTCCTCCCACCCCTCACCAACACACTGACACCCCGCATGTTAGCCTGCATGTTCAAGGCAACCCTCCTGCAATGATGCCACTGCCCCTGCCATCCAGACGGGCGAGACGCAGGCTGGACTGACACACCACCCTAGGCAAGAGTTTCTGAGCTCCCTGTCCATGGTTGGAGAGGCCTAGGAGCCCAGGACAAGGGGACTCAAAAGAGACAATCTAAAGTTTGTTCCCTGGGGCGCCTGTGTGGCTCAGTTGGTTGAATGTACAACTCTTTTTTTTTTTTAAAGATTTTATTTATTTATTTGACAGAGACAGCGAGAGCAGGAACACAAGCAGGAAGAGTGGGACAGGGAGAAGCAGGCTTCCCGCCGAGCAGGGAGCCTGATGTGGGACTCAATCCCAGGACTCTGGGATCATGACCTGAGCCGAAGGCAGCCGCTTAACGACTGAGCCACCCAGGCGCCTGAATGTACAACTCTTGATCTCGGCTCAGGTCTTGATCTCAGGGTCATAAGTTCAAGCCCCATGTTTGGCTCCATGCCCAATAAATATAATAATATATATATAAATAAATGTAATAAATAAATAAGTTTCCAAACTGCAAAGCACTAAACAAGTATTCTTATAAAAACTTTGAATGATGGGGCGCCTGGGTGGCTCAGCTGGTTAAGCATCTGCCATTGGCTCGGGTCGTGATCCCATTGGGGAGCCTGCTTCTCTCTCTCCCTCTGCTGCTACCCCCGCTTGTGCTCTCTCAAATAAACAACAACAACAACAACAACAACAACAAACTCTGAATGGTGTTGTGAACCCAGGAGGCACAGGGAGCTGGCCAGTGAATTAAAACGACCATCACCCCCATCCAGCAACCGTGTGCGGAGCACTGGAGTGGCCAGTTTATACACATCATCCAATCAGCTTTGCAGCAACCCAGCGCTAGAGACAAAGAAACTGGCTTAGCAAGTTTAACTTGCTCCAGGCCACCCAATGGGGAGGAGCATAGATTAGATTGTTTCTTCAAACCAGGCTCCTGCTCAAGCTTTCTCTTGTCCCACTTCTCTAAGCCTGGGCTCCTCAACAGGCTTTGCCCAAGGGGGAAGTGGCTACAAAAGTATATGGGCAGAAACACCTCCCAGAGGACATCCTCTGCAGTAATCCCAGGCAGGACCTGATTGCAGGGGCAGAAGGGATCCCAAGCCAGGCTCTGCTTCTCTCAGAGACAAGCAAGTGAGGAGGCTAGTATGGGGAAAGTCAAAGCAGCTCAGGGCAGGCTGACAGTGGACTTGGCAGGTGGCAGTGGGAGTGGGTGATGGTAGGAGTTAGTACTATTATTTGTGATGGACATCTGTTGTTTTTGCCCACCCAGCATCTAGTCTGTCTTCTGGTAACAGAAATGCTGGCTTTCCTTCAGAGAATCACCCTCCTCTCTGCCCCACAGAGATTGGGATAGGAGTCTGACAGACCTGGCCAATTGGAATTATAGCAATTAGCTCAAGATAATGCAAAGAGGCCTGGACCGCTGCTGGAACTACCGGAGGGAAGGGAGTTAGGGGAGTCGCTGTGCTGTAAGGACATAGCCTGGAACAACTGACCCCACGTAGGCCTACTCCTGGGAGTCTTTCTAAAGGAGAAGCCACCCCAGGGAGACAGACACAGCCCTGATGCCACCATCTGGGCATCCTCACCCAAGCATATGAGAAGAGAACACGCTCCCAGAACTTACCAGCTACAGGAACCAGTAGGTCCCCTTTGCTGCCTGGACCAATTTACTTTTAAACCAATTCTGATCAACACCAATACTACCATTCATGAATGCTTATCATGGGCTGGGCCCACGTTAAGGACATTGCACAAAGCATTCCATTTAACTCTCAGAGCAACAGGGTGAGGCAGAGTCTTAATGTCTAGGCACCGAGCCAGGAAGGGACCGAAGAGGGGTTTGGAGTCTGGGGTCTCCTATTCCAAGGCTCATGCTCTGACCCAACAGGTTACACTCCCCAGCTGGGCAGCAAAGACTTCTGAGCTTACAAACACGTTTTAAAAGCCCTCTTGCAGGAGCAGACAGTGCCTGATTCACAGAAAAGGGAATACAAATGAAAAGACGCTCAACCCCACTCAACAGAAATGCAAACAAAACCAACCAAGGTACACCTTGTTGTTCATCAGATTGGCAAAAACAGTTTGCGAATGTACTAGGTTGGCAAGGAGGTAAGGGGAGGGTTATGCCACCTCTGAGACTGGACTCTAAACCAGAACAGTCTCTACACCAAAGGGAATGTGGAACAGCTTGCCACGTCTCCAATGCACAGGCCCTTTCACCAGAAAGAATTTATCTCACGATTTACCCCCAGCTATACTCGCAGATGCGCCCTACATAGATTATTCATAGCAGTATTGATTAAAAGAGCAGAAGACTGACACCTACATATCCATCAGGGGAGGCTGGTTAAATAAACATGAAACTACGCAGCCGTAAAGAGTCCCATCAGTTAGTAATAGCAGCACCTTCAGATACATTTTTAAGGGAAAAAGGCAAGGTGCTGTACAATTTGAATGTGTACAGCGTGCTACCAGTAGTGTTTATTTTTAAGTAATCACTACACTTAATGTTGGGCTCAAACTCACAACCCCGAGATCAGAAGTCACGTGTATAGCCACATGCTCTGCCGACAGAGCCAGCCAGGCACGCCACAGTATGAGAGGTGGGGGCCTGGGTGGCTCAGTCAGTTAAGCATCCCACTCTTGATCTCAGCTCAGCTCTTGATCTCAGGGTCATGAGTTCAAGCCCCACGTTGGGCTCCATGCTGCCTGTGGAGACTACTTAAAAAAAATAAATAAATAGAGGCAACATTTACACAGTGGTGGATCCTCATGATCTGCAGAGCCTGTATTTTGAATTTGCCTATTTCCTAAAACGTACTCGAAACCCCAAAATCAATGTTTGGGGAGCTTTCATGATCTTTCACAATGAAGTGCAGAGCAATGAAAAGTTCAATTGCCTGAGGTACACACTCCCAGCTGAGGTCAAGGAGGTGACGCTCTGCCTTGTTGCTTCCGCTCTCATACCGTAAATGAATGTCCTTTTCACAACCTATTTACTTCCACATCTTTCACATTTTGCTTTTTGCTGGTGATTCACTGTTTAAAATGGCCCCTACCCCAAAGGTCACACTGAAGTGCTGTCTAGAGTTCTGACGCACGAGGAGGCCGATGTGCCTTATGGAGAAAATATGTGTGTTAGAGAAGCTTTGTGCAGGTCTGAATTATAGCGCTGGTGGCCATGAGTTCAACGTGAATGAATCAACGATATATATTAAATAAGGTGTCCCTAAACAGAAACACAAAAAAACAAGATTATGTATTGATTGACAAAAATGTTGTGATCAGAGGCTCGTAGGAACAATGGTCCAATACTTGCTAATTCAGTGTTTGCAGTGACTTTATAGAACATAATTATCACAAATAATGAGAACCAACTATATACATGTATGTTTACTTGCACGTAGGGGTGTGTATTCCTTATACTGTCTCTGGAAAGACAAGAAGAAACCAATAAATGACACTGATGATCCCCGTGAGCAGAACTGGGTCGCCAGGAGAGTGGTAGGAAGAAGACTTTTCACCATATATCTTTTCATATTTTTTCAATGTTGAAGCAAGTCAATTATTACTTATCCAAAGATAAATATGAAATTAAAGCCCAAAATTTCTGCCTGCCTTCAGTGTCCACCATCACAGACTGTCCCCACAGTCCCCTGTAGGTAATGCAGGGTGAGAGGAAAAGGGGCCACCCCTGTGAGTCCCACCTCACTTATCTGTCCACGCTGTTCGTGCTGTATCACGAAGGGCTGGGCCCTCTCAGCCTCTGGCTGAGGGGAGGGTTTCAGGGTGGGATGGACTGCAGCAGTACCAAGGTGCCTGTCATGACCCATACCCTGGCCCAAGTCGCCCCACCTGATGGCTCACCTGGGTGCTCTCATCATGGAAGCCCTCCAGGAAGCTCTCCAGCAGCTCATCAGCGTTGTCAATTCGCTCGGCGTACTCGCCTACAATCCAAATCATGGCAGCCCGGGCCTCAGGCTCATCCAGGGAGTCTAGGTTCTCACACAGTGTGGCAATCACGCTCTCATACCTAAGAGATGAGCACAGGGCCAGCATGTGAGCAATGAAGGAGCCCAGGCAACCCAGAGGAGGCCCAGCAGGGGCAGAGAGAGACGGGAAGCTGCCCCACAAGATCCTGAGAGGGTGGTAAGTAATGGGATTTGAGTTTATCTGTTACATTTAAGTGCTTATTTAGTTTGGGGAGTGGAGGAGGGGTGACTCAGGAGAAACAAGAAAAAACAATAGGTTTTTTTTGAGAATGCCACTTGTGGCAGAGAAGTAAGGAAGAAGGGAAAGGCTCCTTGTTGCATTTCCTCCCCCCCACATGCCGGTCTCCAGCAGAGCCACATCACCCTCACACTGGGAGGGGTGCGCACATACTTGTTGGGGTACTTGCGGAAGATGTCCTTGATGACCACAATGGCTTCCTGGACCACGTAGTTGACCTTGGTCTGGATGAGATCGAGCAGCGTGCTCACACAGCGCTCTGCAGATTGCTGTGGGAAGAGGAATGTGGGCAAGGCCCTTGCACCCACTTCCAACGGAACCTCTGATGATCATGCCTTGGCCAAGGGCTCAGTCATGTCTTGCCCCCTTCCTTGCCACAGAGGGAAAACAAGAGAACACTCTTCCCAGAAAACAAGTGGGAAAATGAATACAAAATGACAGCTTGAGGACTCCAGGGACCTAGAGAGACAGAATTAGACTGAGAAGGCCAGTAGGGCTCCTGAGAGTGGGGCGGGTATCTGAAGTGCTTCCAGGCCAAGCCTTGAGGGCAGTGACTATGCTTCAGCCTGACACTACCTCACTTCTACTTGTTTCCAAAATGGGCCCCTATGACCAAAAACAGAAAGTCTCTACTTGAACCACCCCCTGCCCCTTATTCCAATATGCTGCACTAATGCCCTTATGGGAGAGATTCTCAGGATGCCATCATAAGCACCAAGGGGAAAATGCCTCAAGGGGCTGGGCTGGGGTGACCAGCTGTCTGAGGATCTCCCAGTCCCCAGTGGACTAACTTAAAGAAAGTCAGCTCAGTGGTCAAGGAACATCACCATAGGCAGAGAAAAGGAGGGATGAAATGCCAGGACACAGGGGCTGACAGTCCTTGGGAGCTTGGAGAAAAGGGCATATGGATAATCGAATCATGATTATTGCTAATTTGTTCAGCAGGCAGAGAACCCTGCTCCAAAATCCCATGAAGTGAAAGCTAAGTCTACCAGGGCCATCACCAGCTGGGGCTGCCCCAGCATCTTAGCTAATGCTGTGGGAGAACCCATGGTTACAGATGGGTTTGTTTCATCTGCAACAACCCGCCCCACTCTCAGGAGCCCTACTGGCCTAAAGGTGATCAGAGAGAGAGGAGGAGCCCAAGCAGATCTGCACAATGGGTGCCTTGGGGCCTCCAGTGGTGACCCTCAGGCCTTCCTGGACCAGGAGTAGCTGGCAGGTTCTGCTAGAATCAGACTGGTTTCCTGGTTTCAGCTTCCTTTCCCTTCCTCTCCCCCTACAGAGGACAGTCCCAGAGCCTCACCTCCACCTTGATGGCACAGCGCCCAATGGCTCGCACAGCCTTCCGTACAAAGTCCACATCCACCTCTGTTGCATACTCTTTCAACTCTGCCAGGACCTGTGGCCCAAAGAGAGAAGATGGGGTTGGCGGGGTGGGAGTGGGGGGGCGGGATCTGCCAGGGCAACCAACATGCCTGGACAATGGGTATGCACAGACCCCTAGAAGGATGGGATTCTGCCTCCTGCTCGAGGAAGAAGGGCCAAGGGAAGGACACAGCTATCAGGTGCCCCAAGAGGAAAGCAGGGAAGAACTAGTTGCCGGGACCGGACAACCCTTGTTTAGGCCAAGCTGGCTAACACAGCCACCTAACTACCACTTTTCAATGAATGGATAATAAGTAATAGTAGGGAGAACGAATGCTTTAATCACAAAAATATCAGTTAAGATTTGTTCAGTGCTTGCTTACGGAGCCCTGTGCTAAAGCACTCTTTGTGAGATGAACAGTTGCCGGTGAGACCAGGCAGTCCGCTCAGAGACCACACTTTGGTGGTGGTGTTGCTGTCCAACACCAAAGCCCATGCCCCGGGCCATAGCCCTCTGCTGACCTGGGCGATGTTGGCCTGGGAGGCCAGGCGGATCATGATGTCCAGCTTCTCCAGCTTCACGTAGATGGGGTCATTGTATTTCACAAAGAAGACCTTCATTTCGTGCTTCAGGATCTCAGGCCTGGTGGCAAGACAGGATTGTCCAAACAGCAAAAAGCAAGGCATAAGCTCTGTGAGAAAACCCCTTCCATGTTTACTGGGACATTTCTGGGGCCTAAGGTAGTTCCTGACATCCGTGAAGGCAGTCACTGCCACAGCTGCATGTTCCTGGGAGAGGGTCCATTGACTGGCCTGTGCCCAGGTTCTGACTGGCCATTGTACGTCCAACCATATCCCAGGACGGGAAGAGGTAATATGAGTAAGAGAGAGTTCATATTTGAGAGGTAGCAGGCAGCAGGCGAAGGCCATGGGAATCTGACCTCCATGCCAATCCCAGCTTGTGACCTCAAGCCTCTGCTTCCTCACTCATGAAATCAGAATGATACCATGTAGGACGTGTTACCACTGCAGGCCTCAGTCTCCAGTCTTAGAAAGGCCTGATGTCTGGGAACTCTGTTTTTGGGAGTGTTCCACTGTTGCCTAAATAATAAAGGTGGCTAACTGTGCCTAGACTGTTTGTACAAACCATATGATTTATGCCGAGTATCTGCTTTCCTTCTGGGAGTCTGAGATTTTGGTAGGTGACTATGTGATCAGCCCCCCATAAAAATCCAGGGTGCTGAGTCTCCAACAGGCATCCCTGGGCAGAAAAATTATACATATGTTGTTGCATCTTGCTACTGGGGGACGAATGTGCTGTGTGTGACCCCCTTCATGGGAAGGAAGAACCATAAGGAAGCCTGTACATGGATTCCTCCAGACTCCACCTGGGTATCCTTGCTATGTCCATACTAAATCTGAGCCATGAAAACAAGTATATGCTGACTCCCACGAGTCCTTCTAGTGAATCTCTGAACGTGGGGGTCGTCCCGGGACCCTGACAGACGCCTACATCACAGCACTGTTGTGAGAGTTAGACGGGAAGCATCTAGCATGATCGATGCCTGCCTCAGAGAAGGCACCTGCTACGCGGGAGCTGTCAGTCACCAGTGTTGCTGCTCCTCCCTCAACTGGTACCACCCACCTCGTTTCTCTTAAGATGAGGAAACCTGAAGGTGGAGGGGCTCGCACCAGGTCACACATCTAGTGCTAATAAGGGTGGAATCGAGAGTCACCACCCTCAACTCCTACTTCTCTGCCCTTTCCAGAACCGAAGGAAGGAAGGAGAAAGAATGAGGACAGACGGTGAGGAGGGGAGAAGACACAGCAGAGAGAAAGGAGGGACCCTACCCAGGCAGTACTCAGTGCTGCTGTGCAAGTTGCAGGGAGGTCCTGGCAAAGCAAGGAGCCTTTGTTGTGCCTGGTGGGGGAGACAGGGTCCCAAGCTGGGGCGGGGGACATGATTTCTGCAATCAGGACCTGGCAAAAACTGCCCGACCACATGGGGACTGCACCAGATGGTGCCTGGGCAACACGGTTGACTTCTTAAGAGATTTGCCATGTTAAATATAGCACAGGGAGCCCTTCATGCTGATAGGGATCTACAGGTCACTACACCTCGCTAAATCCCACACCGCAATGAATCCCTAGTCTCATGGCTTTGTTTAGGCACTCAAAAAGCTTTCCCAAATTTGCCTCCCAAACCTTCACAACTGCTACGATTCCACTGATATCTCTGGGTCCCCAAGAGTGTCCTAAGAACCAGAGTGATGCTACAAGGACAGGAAGAAGTGCTGTCTTCCAAGAAAGAATGTCTACAAGAGGCCCTTATTCTCTGTGCCCAGCAAAGGGGCTGTTGTAACATATGGACGCTCATGAGTTAGTTGCTGAGTGAGCCATTTGACCAAATAGGCTGGGAGGAGAACTCCGGAGACCAGCCCCATTCTGTTTTCTGGATTGTTCCAGAGAACCCCTCCTATTCTGGGCCCCTCAGACCGGCACTGCTAACTGTTTTTCAGCTCTACCCATCCTGGGTATCAGGTACCTTCTCTTAGAAGCAGTGGCTTACAGCTGTGGCTGTTCCCATGGGGCCAACAGAAATGGGCTTCTTCCTTTTTTTTTTTTTTTGAAGTAGGCTCTATGCCCAGTGTGGAGCCCAATGCAGGGCTTGAACTCACGACCCTGAGACCAAGACCTGAGCTGAGATCAAGAGTCAGATGCTTAACTGATTGAGCCACCCAGGCACTGCCGGATATGGGCATCTGAGTGACTCTCGCATACCCCTCCTCAGGCCCAAGGCCAATGCAAAGTCCATAGTACCTCACCACTCTGGGGTCCTCCAAAATCAGAAAATTTGGCTAATGCTATAGACTCTGATCCCAGCAAAAATACACACACAGAATCTTACACACTGTTTGAGGAGGGTTCTGTGGACTGTGGAGCCATCCACTGTTTGTGGTTAAGAAGCATCATGCTGGTGCTCGCTTCAGCACCACAGATACTAAAAGAACCAACATGCTGGTCTTGACCTGATCTGCTACCTCATTAGGCTAAGCCAGGGTTTCTCACCCTCAGCACTACTGACAGTTTGGGCTGGATGGTTCTCTGGGGGTGGGGCTGTCCTGCACACTATAGGATGCTGAGCAGCAGCCTTGGCCTCTGCCTATTAGGTGCCAGTAGCACCCCCCGAAGTCTGACAACCAAAAATGTGTCCAGACGTTTCCAAATATTCTCTGGGGGACAAAGCTGCCTGTGGCTAAGACTCCTGGCTTAAGCTATTGAGACTTCCTACACAGCAACAGGTCAGTTTCCCTTTAGTGTCCTGTTCCCAGGAGGAGACATCCCTACTCCCCGCCACCCCCAGGCACACACCCTGCACATATGCAGCAGTCCGGGTACCTTTTCTGTACGATGAGGTTGATGTTGCGCAGGGCCACGTACTGCAGCTCAGGCTCGGCTGACAGCAGCGTGACCAGGGGCGGGGCCAGCTTCTTCAGCAGCGTGCCATAGTAGTCCAGGTCCTTGGACAACATCTCCATGAACTTCATCAGCACCTTCACAGCAGACAGCACCACAGCAGAGTTGGCGTGGGAGAGCCTGGGGGTGACCCGCTCGCAGATGCTGGGGTCCATTCCAAGGGGGGCAAACAGGAGAGACAGACAAGGGCAACACCCTGGTTTTAGTTATTGAGAGAGCATGTTTCCTGTAGGAGGATCTAGATCCTGCTTCTGGTGCTTGTTAACTGACGCCAACAGGTTAAAATCACTGAGTCTCAGTCTCCTCGTCTAGAAAACAGAGATGATGGGGCCATCTTCCCAGGGTTGCTGAGGGATTACGTGAGTCAATGCACGTAAAGCCCCAAGCATCATGCACGGTAGTTAATAAATACTGGAGAAGTGTCAAGCCCCTCCCTTCCCCCATGGCAAGGGCATTCAAAAGGGGCAAGATATCATGTTGGTTCCGTCCAAAGGTCAGGGGAGACCCAGCTGGGTGACCTGCATGACTTCATCTACCTTCTTAGCCAGTGTTTCCTTGCCTGTAAAATGTGGACAATGACGGGGCAGTTTTCACAGAGGTGCTTCAAGGAGCATCTAATGCATAGGAAGCACTCGGCAGAGCCCCAGCCACCCAGAAAGATCCAATGAATGGTGACTCTGGTGCTATCCACCTCCTTTACTCAGCCCAAGGTGACCAGGGTCTCTGTCAACAACCAGATGCTTGGGGCTTTACGTGCGCTGGCTTCTGTTCTGTCTGTACCATGCTGAGCAGGGAGCTGACTGCCTGGCTCTGGGCTCCCTTGAGGTGTGTCTGAGGATGGTCTGTGGGGCAAGGCCCTGGCAAAGGGCCCAGCAGAGGTCTGAGGCCCAGCTTACGATTGGAGCCCTGAAAGGACCAGGTCCCACTGGGCTGGCAAGCAAAGAGCAGCCTGCTCACCTCTGGGCCTCCCGGTCATCCTTGGGCGTATAGTTGGCCAGGCAGTCCAGGATGAAGATCTGGCCCCACTCGGTGCACTCGTTCAGGGCTGTCAGCAGCTTATTAATGGACTGCGGGTTCAGATCAAGCAGGTTGCTGCTGGGGTGAGACTCAGCGATCTCTGAGAGGGCAGCCACTGCGTTTGCCACCACCTGGTTGAGAGGGTGGAAGGGGCAGAGGCTGGGGGCGTTGCTCGGGCCAAGGGACATTGGGACTAATCATGCTGGCAGGTCAGAGGTTGAATATCCTGAAAGGAACAGGACCCGATGGACAGGGTCTGAAAATGGAGACCCACTCCAAGCACTCATTCTACTGACTCCCCTGTGAGCCAGAACGAATGTTAAGTGCCCCCACCAGTGAAAAAAAAGAGGGAAAACGAAAGATCCAGTTCCAAATGCCTGGCAACAGAAAACATTCCTAGCTACCTAACACACAGCCCATGCCTACCAGCTACAACAGCTTACTTCAGGGAGTGTCAAGTGTGCTTCCTGGAGCTAGAAGATTCTTGCAGAGCTCCTCAGGGCTGCTGGTAACAGATGGGGGCTGGAATCCAGAGGGGTTGCCAGGTGAAGCACTGGGCTCTCAACCCATTTCTACCAGAGCAGCTATTTTTATGTGTGTTCTGCAGGGTTTTCACCTTTTCCCTATAACAGACAGTGCTCCAATGGCCAATCCTGTACTGGCCACTCAGGGTCCATGTGTGATCAGTGTTTCCATAGGACAGAGTGGAAAGGCTGGACCGAGGGGTCTGTGCATTTCACTTTATTTATTTATTAAGATTTTATTTATTTATTCATGAGAGAGAGAGGCAGAGGCAGAGGCAGAGGGAGAAGCAGGTTCCCTGCTGAGCAGGGAGCCCGATGCGGGACTTGATCCCAGGACCCCGGGATCCTGACCTGAGCCAAAGGCAGACGCTTAACCATCTGAGCCACCCAGGTACCCAGTGTGAATTCCACTTTAAATAGGGCCTGTTGAACTCCCTCCAAACTGCTGCCACACCCCCGTCCTCCAGCCACATCCTGGTGCCCTGCCCTCCAGGCTATGCTACTTCAAGGGTGACCCTCTGCAACCCTGCAACCCCAGAGATGTGGGAAAAGGGAAAAGTACCCACATTTAAAGCTCACTGATGATCTCAGTGAGAAGTCAGTGACAATGACAGTGACTGGAAGGGGAAGGAGAGCACTAGTCTTGGTTGCATGCCCACTGTTACCTTCACAGCTTAAGCCTCACAGCACTCCTGCCAGCCACGGATAGTTAGATCCATCTTACTGATGAAGAAAAGAGGACTCTGGAAGGTTAGGCAGCCTGCCCAAGGTCACACAGCTCATGTTAGAAAGGGTACAGAGAAGGGAATCCAGGTCTAACTACCTCCAAAGTTGGTGCCCGAACCACTGCAGGCACGAGAACAATTAGCCTACCCAGCAAGGCTCTGACTTCCAGGAACCGGGGAGTGCCTGGTGGAGGATGAAGCCAAGGTGTTCCCAAGCAATCCAGGAGGTAGTGGAAGTGGCATCGTGGGTGGCAACAGCTTACCATGGGGTTCGAGTCAGAGATGAGGTCTTTCAGGGTGTCCAGGAAGCCCTGGTCCTCTACCAGCTGGGCATTGATGTCGTGGAGCTTGGCTACACACACAGCCGCTGTTTTGCGCACGTATGGGTCCTCGTCCTTCAGGCACTTCCGGAGTGGCTCACACAGGTACTCTGTGATCTTGTCAACGCGGATACAGCCCATGGTCCGCACAGCCAGGGCCCGGATCAGGGGATTAGGATCCTCACAATCCTGAGGGGAACCAGCCATTGGCCGGGAGTAGGGGCAGGCTCAGCAACATCAGACGCTGCTGTGGGATCTCCCACCAACTGTGGCCAACAGCACTAAAAGTAAGGCCATGTATGGGCATTTAGCATTTGCCAGATGCTGTGCTGAGGCTTTGTGTATTGTTGACTCTGATTCTCACAGCAAGCATACAATACTGTTCCCGTTTTACAGGTAAAGCAGCCAAGGCTCGCAGGAAGACTGGGAGCTCACCCAGTCACAGAGCAGAGCCATGATTCAAACCCACATCCATCCAGCACCATAACCCACAGGATCCCTCATGTGCCTGTATCTGAGCACTGCGGGGAGAGGGGAGCTAGGAGGGTTCTAAAGGTACACAGAACTGACACTTCAAGTCTCTGTTTGCTCCTTAATCTAGACGGAAAACACAAAAAGGGGCAAAGTCTAGAAGGGGAACAGAGAAGCTCTCAGACGCTTGCTGAATCCTGCCCTGGCAAAGGATGTAGGACAATGGTGCATCCCAGGGGAAATGGGGATCAATATAGGCCTTAGGCTACCTCACACAGAATGAGTTAGCAGGGTCTGCAGCAACTGATTTTCTGAGAGAGTGGGAGCCCTCTGCTGGAGGACTAGGAGGCCCTGAGGCTGGGTGTCTGAGAGACTGGAAAGGAGACTGAGTGTTTTTACTCAGGGCCATAGTGTCCCACCCCAAGATGGAGGGAAGATGGAGCAGTGAACACCTATGCCCTTCCTCCCACCAAGCTCCTACTCACCTTCACAAAGGTGTTGACAGCCATGATGGCCATGTCGGGCTGACTCTTGGCGTAGTTCATCAAATACAAGTACACCAGCTTCTTCAGCTCTAGGTTGTCTGTCTGCATACAGTTCACCACGTCAGGGAAGAGGGCACTGGAAAGTCAAAACGGCATGAGTGTAGGTAAGCTGAAGAAAGGAAGATTTTTCAGAGAGCTAATGGGGGATTGGGGTGGGGTAGGGGCACAGAGACAGTGGATGGGAGAGAAAGAAAAAAATAACAGGACTTCCAAGTAAAAGGGAGGACATCAGCTATGCTCTGTTACCATGAACACTTATGGGTAGCACTGGAACCCAAAAAGTGACTTGAAAAGCAAAGTCCTCTGTTCTTTTCACAAAGTTCATTCATATAGTAGCTCTATAGCCCATTAGGCCTGGCTCAAACCCAGCTCTGCCTCCTGCTAACTGGATGAAATTGGGAAAATTCCTTCATCCCCACCCCATGTCTCAGTTTGCTCACCTGCAGGAAAGGTGCAACAAAATCCCACTACACAGGGCCCTTGTGATAATTAAAGCAACATATTTCAGGTATCTGGTCCTTGACATCTAGCAGGTGCAGAATAAATGAAAACAACTATTTTCCTTCCCTGATACTTAAGGTCGCCCCCTTATATTTGGGTTGCTGGTTCTAGAAGGCTGTAGGGAAGCAGATATGGGCCATGCTGCTTTCACCACAAGGTGAAAACTAGCCCAGCATGTACAGAGCATGTGCTATATGCTGGGCTTGGCACTAAGGGCTTTATATACGTGATCTCAATTAACAGCCCCAAGAAGCCAGTGTGTTATCCCCATTTTACAGAAGACAATACTGAGGCTCACAAATGTCAAATAACTTGCCTGAGGAGCCATGTCTGGCTCTAAAACCTGTGCTCATGACTGCTGTTATTCTGGGTGGAACCCTTCCCAACACGGAACCCCACAGGCCCAGAGTCCCAAACCCCTTGAGATGTGAAATATGCTTAGAGGTCAATTTTCTCTCCTGGAATCATTGCCTCCCCTCTCAGCTCTCAAGTCTTGTGACTTAGTGGCCGAGAACATGGTAGACTTAAGAGGTCAAAGTGAGCTCCCTGGGCTCCCTTAGGAAGGAACTCAGTTGATGCTGATATTGATGCAGCACCTTGGAAGATGAAGAACCAGGAAGAGGGGGGTGGAGAGGAGGACACACTGATGGGCCTGTCACATCAGCACAACAAGTTCACTTGAGACAGAAGAACAAAGATGCTTCCTCTGTAAGGAGGTGACAGCAGTGTTCTAGCTGAAGGGGAGAGTGGCTTTGTCCTGGAAGGATGTGACTTGGAAGGAGGCCCAGTTCTCCAGCAGATGCCCAATCCTTTTGCCACTCTGTCTATAGCAGGTCTCTCTGCAGAACTGTTTCTACTGTGGCGCTGTCAGGAGGTCTCTTGCTGAAGTGGCAAGAGGATAGGGCAATCCTTGGAGAAGTCTGGAGAAGTGTGATCCTGACATGCGATCCGGATGAGGAACCGCTCCACATCAGCGCCCAGGCCTGTGAGGCATGGAGCTGGGCAGCATAAGGGCACAGAGGAGAGGGTATGGGTGGAAATGCCCTGGATTTGGATTTCAGAAGGGCTGGGCTTGAGTCCTAGTTCTGCTATTAACCACGTTCTTTATCTGGTTTCCTTAGCAGGAAACACATCATTACCTACAATATGGGAATTGTAAATATCTGAAGGTTTTCTGCATACTCTCAAATACTGTGCGACTGCTAGGTTGTTGCAGAATCCGGTCCCTGTCCTCGGGGACTTTATGACACAGTGGGCAGGTAAACACAAGTACACATAAGAAAAGGACAGTCTAGAATTAGTGCCGGGTGACAGGAACACAGAGCAAATGCTGCACATTCAGGCCAGTGGGCTGGAGTGACGAGGGAGGGCAACAGGGAGACCTTGAATGGGTTGTTGATGGGAAACAAGCTGGTAAATGGAAAAGGAACATTCTACACAGGGGAAAAGCACAAGCAAAGGTGAGGCAGCAATGCTACGTATGATCTGCTCTGGAAATCAGATGCAAACCAGAGGCTGCAAAGTGGCAACAAATCCGATAAACCCCATCTGCAGGCACGTGTTAGTGTCACTGCAGTGTTTGTTTGTTTAGTATCATCTGGCAATCTAAACAAATAAGGAGATTTAAAATGAACAATTTAGATTTCTTATTCTTTTAAAAAGCCAGGCCTGCCCACGCTGGGTTCATTTTCCCCAGCTGGCAGCAATCCTCTGGAATTCCTGCAGGGTCCCTGCCACATCCACTTCATGGCTTGTTACCTTTTTGACCTTGCCCACCTCCCTCACCGCGCGGCCGCCCGACCCTGGTAGCATCGGACCCAGGACCCCTCTGTACCAGAAACCTTCTGTTTGGAAAGGGGGTTCATGAAGGGAGCCACGGGTCCCCAGAGAGACCGTCAAGGAGCCATATGAACTAGACCTGAGCTATGGAGCCCCGCTCTAGCTGCCACCCGGCCTACGCCTGCACACCTGACATCTTTGCCCACGGTCATTGACGCAATCACTTTCTTTACCGCCTCCTTCTTCTTCTCCTTCTTGTCACTGTTGAGCTCTGCCTTCAGCTCGAAGATCTCTCCTAAAAAAGGAGGCAGGCATGAGTGATCCACCCCTACCCTGCCAGGGGGCCACTCCCAGTCCCCAAATTCCAAAAGAATGGGAGGCGAGAGGCAGGTAAGAGGCTCTGTGCTGCCAGCGGAGGGCAGCTTTAGGACCTTGGCCTCAGTGACAGAGGTAGCAGAGAGGGACAAATCTGAGGAGGGCAGCTTGGAGGCCGTGCTGGACTGAGCAGAGGGAACTGTGGAGGCCACAAAGGTTCTGAGGGAGACAAGAAGTGTGAGGACAGGTCCTGCTCAGCCAGACAGTTAAAAACATTCAGAGGAAAGCAAAATTCTCCTCAGCTACCACCCTCACCCAAAGCCCTCAAGGCAGCGTGTGATGGAATCTGGGACTGAAGATCTGAGGGGAGAGGGTAGGATTTGCTCGATTCCCAAACTTGGCTTTTTTCCTGTTTTCCCAGAACCTCCAGTTAAAACAGTGCACTCAGGGTTTCACTTCCTGAGCCACAAGTGGTTGCTCAGCTCTGAAAATGGGAATTCAGCGGCCCCATGAGGGCTCGAGCGCATAATATGCTGTTCTTAAGAACTTGATGATCTCGAAAAAACAAATGAGGAAATAGGGTTGTTCAGGGCCCAGATAACCCCAATGACAGGTTACAAAGGCAGACTTTGGAATCAGCCAGGCCTCCCGCCCTCAAAACAGCAGCCACCAGGATTTCCTGAGCCCTTCTCTGAGGCAGGCGCCACACTTTTCCCCATTTCTCATTTCATCCTCATGACAACTCTGCGTTTCCCCCCATTTTACGGATGAGCAAATGGAGGCTGTGACTTGCCCAAGAACACACCGCTAGTAGCAGGTAGGGCCAAGATTCAAACTCGCATCTGCCAGCTCCAAAGCCCATATGCTCGGGCCAACCAAGGATATCACTTTGCTTCTCTGAACCTGTTTCCTTGTCTAATCTCTCTACTTTGACTGGGGCAGTGGATTCTCTCATTTAACATTCAGATGTAAAATGCTCATCTCAGCGCCTGGCACTCAGTGGCCTGCATTAAAGGTGACTGCTATTGTTATTTGCCATGTGACCCTTGGCTTGGATTCCTCTTGAAAGAGTCCTGAGCTTCCCTCTCAAGTTACTTGGGGGTGGGAATAAAGCCAAAGACTGTCATGTGGGGGGAAGTTCTGAAGAAGTTCTAGATGGATTTACAGTGAGAAAAAGAAAACTTGCAGGTTTTTATCATGACTGAACAATGTGGTGCTTGGGAAAGAACTTAAGATGACAGACAGCAAACAAAGTTAATTAAGAACAATCACACAGTAGAGCCCAGGGCAAGGCCACACTGAGGATATTGCTCAACAGAGCCAGGAGAAATCTGCAGACCTTGCAGTTCAGACTCTTGACTTCTGTAGGATTGGAGGGACACATGCCCTTCCCTGCCAGAGACTGAGGGGGCCCTGTCTCCCTGCTGCGGGATCTAACAGACCATGATGACTTTGACCCTGGGTCCTGCTGCAGGGCTGTCCCAGCTTTGCTCAGTGCCTTTGGTCAGATTCAATGCAACTGGCTGTCAATTGATGGATCTAGGCCTGAGTCACTTCAGTTCTAAGAAAGCTGATGAGGTGAACTTCCAATCTGCCTGCTGCCAAAACGTCTCTTTCCTCTAATGGGCCCCAAATCCAATCAGTCACCAAGCCTACCTCCTCAATTGCATACAAAGCGTCCGATTCTCTCTACCCACAATACTACACCCCAGCCCACCCCCTCCCCCGGCTCAGGTACTATCATCTCTCATGGGACCTGTGGTACTGGTCCCCCTGCCTCCCCAAATCTTCACCCCTTCAATTCTTTACTAGAAACTGTCTTGGACCTTCTCTTGCTTAAGACCATCACTGATGTCTGGTTTGGACCTAGGCATCCCTCTATAGACATTCTCCTCAAAAGAAAACCCACAAAAACCCCACCACTGACACCCCAATACACTTAGCACTAGGTTCACCCCCTCTAGCCCTGCACACCTCTCCAACTCTCCTTCCATCACACTCTTCAGTAACTTGTGCCCAGGTGCTTTCCTTCCCCTGAGCAGAGCAAGTGCTCTGCCCTGCCCCGCCCCCGACCCCTTCCCCCTTTTAACTAGCTAGCTCTACCCAAGGTTCTCCCACAGCCCCCTGCACTTCCCTTACCACAGCACCTACCACCTTTAGAGTGATTACTATTTAATAGACTGTCTTCTCTGCTTAACTGCAAGCAAAGCCAGGTCAGAGACTCCAATCTGTCTCCATGGCACAGGGAGGGGGCTCAGGAAAAACTGGCTAGAACAATAAAGAAGGGCTCACTAAGGGGCAGACTGCAGGTTCCGGCTCAGCTGCCTCAACAACAGACTCTTTTCATCTGGTCAGCAGGCATGTGTCAATCTCATTTGGAAGGAAGGGCCGGTCAGAAAGATGCTTACAGGATTAAAGCACATTCACCAGCCACTACAACCACCTCTGTTTCCCAGAAAGCAGAAACAACCACAATACCCTACAACATAAGACTAGCTTAGCAAATTTCAGTGCAGCAACTCAGCAGACTAACAGTGAGTAGTTAGAACTGTGGGGAAATGTTTAAGATAATGTGAAATGAAAAACAGGATATAAATTCTGACTCTGACCACGTAAAACATGTGCCCGTGGATAAAAGACCAGACACACACACACACATATCACTGTGGGGTTACTGATAGGATTATGTGCTTTCTTTCCTCCAGGAAAAAAACATATTTAATAATGTTAGGCCATTCGGAATAAAAGGGGGCTTTCTTCCCCCCTCCATTTGGAGCTAATGCTCTTCCCTTCCTGAGTTCTAAGAGAAGTGGTCAATTTCTTATACCATCAACACTTCAATGTTCTGGATCCACAAGGTTAAAGATGCTCTGGGTAATTTCCACCACTTGCTCCCAGGTCTCCACCCCTGCCCCCAAACCCCACCCTGGCAGGGAGAAGGCAGAAGGGTGGAGCAGGGAAAGGGTTGGGCAAGACCCCACGATGAAACAAACAGTACCTTTCTTGGTCGTGGTGAAATACTTTGAGTCAGTCATTTTGGTCCCTTATCTGTGGCCAGACTCTGCAAGACAGAAGAGAGGGGTGACTTTCTGTTGTGTCCGCTCCATTTTCAGTTACGGACCACAGGAGGAGGGCAGGATCCAGCACACATGTGGTATGGGAAGATAGCTTCTTATCTCTCTACAGGGCAAATGAGCTATTAGATAATAGCTGATCAGATTTTGGAAGGTAACTCTGAGGGATCTACCAAATTTTTGAATGTGTACATCCTTTGACCTAGCAGTTCTACTTCTAGGACTTCTAGGGCTCTCCCACAGAAATACTTGCACAAATATAAGGGTTTTCCTACAGCACTGTCCATAACAATACTTCACTGGAAATAACCTAAATGCCCATCAATGAGGGAACGGCTAATGGGGTGGCTCAGTCGGTTGAATGTCTGCCTTCGGCTCAGGTCATGATCCCAGAGTCCTGGGATGGAGTCCTGCATTGGGCTCTCTGCTCAGCAGGGAGCCTGCTTCTTCCTCTCCCTCTGCCACTCCCCGTGCTTGTGCTTTCTCTGTCAAGTGTATAAAATCTTTAAAAAAAAAAAAAAAGGGGACGCCTGGGTGGCTCGGTTGGTTAAGCGGCTGCCTTTGGCCCAGGTCATGATCCCAGCATCCTGGGATCAAGTCCCACATCGGGCTCCTTGCTCAGCAGGGAGCCTGCTTCTCCCTCTCTCTCCCTCTGCTTGTGCTCTGTCAAATAAATAAAAATTTTTTTTTAAAAAAAAGAAGGGAACGACTAAATACTCCGAGAAGTCCACAGATTAAAAAGCACTTAGTTATAGCTACCCCTTCGTGTGCTCACTCCACCCAACACCGTTTTAAGTGCTTCCTGCAAGTTAACTCATTAAAGCCCCATCACAGCCTTAAGGAGGTATTACTGTTACTCCATATAGTCAAAAGAGCTTGGAAAATGCCAAATTTGAAAAGCTAGGGAGGTTTCTTCTCTCCCCAACTTTTCTGAACTTATCTAACAATGATATGTGCTATTCAACTCTAGAGAAGGCTAGAATCTGTATACTGTAGACTCTACAGCATTCCCCAAATCTAACTGGCCAGTTTCCTTAAAGCATCTCTCAGGACATCTCCCAATGCAAAAGTCACAGTGTGAAGTGCTGTTCTAAGGCAATAAAACAAAGAAAGTACCAAGTCCCCCTCATTCATTCAACATTTATGAAGTATCTACTATGTACCTTCAATAGTTCCTCTTAACAGAAGAAAGATTAAAGAAGCTACACAGGGGCCAAGTACCCTGGATACATGGCAGAGGCTCCAGGGGTTGTTTACTAAGTCCCTGTTACAGCCAGGGGTTCTTAATACATTATCCCACTTAATCCTACCAATAAGGTAGCTGGTTTTAACACTATTTTACAGATGAGGAAACTGAGGCTCAGGGTTGTTAAGTAACTTGCCCAAGGTCACATGACTTATAAATGGTTAGACTGGGAGACCATCTGAGGTCTGCCTGACCTCAGCAGCTGTATTCTATCAATGAAGGAATTCTGCTTCTCCCATCTGAAAGGGAGGACGGAGCCCTGACAGTGGCTAAGGACTCAGTTCAAAAACCGTAAGACTTTCAATGACAACTGTCCAATCCTACCTGTAGTCTCACATGGTACAGAAAACCACACAATCCAAAAAAACAGACATTTGAATGGAAAAAACTCACTCACTTTGTCCCTTCTGTTGTCTCCGTGGAAGAGACTGAAACATAGAACCCATCGAGGGCACTTGTGATGAGCACTGGGTGTTATATGTAAGTGATGAATCATTAAATTCTACTCCTGAAACCAATATTACACTGTAAGTTAACTAACTAGAATTTAAATAAAACCTTGAAACTAATTAATTAAAAAACCCCACAGAACCTATTAACATCTTCTTCCTTTTTTTTTTTTTAAAGATTTTATTTATTTATTTGAGAGAGAGAGAATGAGAGATAGAGAGCACGAGAGGGAGGAGGGTCAGAGGGAGAAGCAGACTCCCCGCCGAGCAGGGAGTCCGATGCGGGACCCGATCCCGGGACTCCAGGATCACGACCCGAGCCGAAGGCAGTCGCCCAACCAACTGAGCCACCCAGGCGCCCTTAACATCTTTCAATGCATTACTATGTGGAAGCAAGATGGAGGTTACTGGTGGGATGGAGGTGAGAGGTCAAGGATCATTTCAAAAGTCTCTGGAAACAAAGCTGACATGGCTCCTCTCTAGCCCAACTGAATTCTCCAGACTAAGCTGGTATTCACAGCAGGATGGCAATGAGGCTGTTCCCCAACTGAGACACCCAATAGATTTTGTCTCAATGATCAATGGGAAACAAGTATGTACTGTCTTGGGGGCTGCCTTAAATCCTTTGTGGATCCCGTCGGAATAAAGGCTTCGCTGACAAAACAGTACAAAGGAAAAAACACAATTCCAGTTTCCTTTGCTTTGCAAGGTTGAAAAGGGATGATGGCACTTTTCTGTGGGAGGTGCAGGAAAAAGCAGAAGAGACTGCTGTGTCTGATGATGGCAGACCCACAGTAGGGACTCTAACTTGCAGGTCCTGGCAGCAGGAGTCAGGGCTGTGGACAGATCCACAAAGGGAGAACCCACGTCAGCCTGGTCCATGGCTCTGTCCATCCTCCCCCTTCAGAACTGGCCCAGGGTTCTGCACATGGCCAGTGTTGAGTTGACAGTTGTTAAAAGAAATGAAAAGGGGCCAATGAGCATCCCAGGGAGGCTTGGCTTGCTGACAGCTCTGTTATGTAACTCTTTAGCATTTGTCTCCTAAAGGAGTTTACTTATAGTGAAAATCATTTTCTTTGGAGCACACATAAAGCCATTTTCTCAGAGAAATCTCACCAACCTAGAGGTTCTTTCTGGAGTGCTTCGAATGAGCAGCTCAACAAGATAATAAGATGTCTGCCACACAACAAAGGGCTGTATGACTTTAGAAGTCACAGCGTGAAAGCACAACCGGCAGAGCTATCCAAAATAGAAGTACCCCATTTCTCAAAGTTAAGTTTAGTCTAAGAAGAGGGATCAATGAAAGCAAAAGCGGCTAAAAATTTTAGACCAAAAGAATCACAGTAACATATAAACCCCTCCATTGTTAAATCTAGAAGGCAATCAAAGTGAACAAAACCCCAAAACTACTCTAGATGTCTAACTTCAGTGCTGCTCAGAGATTCTTCCTTCTCCAATAGAGGAGGCTGTAGGGGGCTTTCTCCTCATCTGCAGGCACAACACAACATCTGGGGCCCTAGGTTCCCAGAACACAACCTCCTGGGGACAGATTTGTGTTGCATGCAACTGCCCAGGTGGAAGAAAGGGTGGGAAGCTTCTTTTGGGGGGATTAAAAAAAGCAACAGAGCTGCAGGGTCAGCTAATTAGACCACCACAGTTGCCGATAGCCCTATAGCGTTAAGCTTTGATGACACCCTTCCTTTTACAGGTGCTAAGGAACCACTCCCAACTTAAACTGCTACCCAGTGTGAGTGCTGGCTGCGGCTTTTCTCTGCAATATCTATTTCGCATATCTCTCTGCAGAGGGCCCAATGGGACTGATGATACAGAAATCGTATCCCTCTGAAGTTGTTTCACGTACAGGAAATTAAAGTGGAGGAGGAAAGGGAAGTAGTGAGAAGTGAAAATGCTTTTGCAAAGGCACCCAGAGCATGGATTTTTAAAAACCTCATTTCACTGTGGAAGATCAACTGCCCCTGGTTGATCTGCTACGGGTGGCTAGCTCCTGTGTCCTTTCTCTGCAGTTACCTCTTAGATGTCAGTGCAAGAGATGTTTCATTCTCTCTACAGGAATGGAAAAAACCCTACAGTCCAGTCTAAAGGATCAGACTTGTGGATGCCACAGGGAAGACGGGTGCTTTCCCTGGCACTACTCAGCCATCGCCATACACTGCATGCCTCCTAATGGAGGCCAAAGGGGCTAAGACCTTGTTTGATGGATCTGACTGTGTACATGAGCCACAACTGAAAGCGGACAGCCAATTCAGGCAAGAAAAAGCTTAGGGTTTGGATTCTATCTTTGGAAGTGACAGGACGCACATTAAAAAGCAATAATCAGGGGTGCCTGGGTGGCTCAGTTGGTTAAGCGACTGCCTTCGGCTCAGGTCATGATCCTGGAGTCCTGGGATCGAGTCCCACGTCGGGCTCCCTGCTCAGCGGGGAGTCTGCTTCTCCCTCTGACCCTCTCCCCTCTCATGCTCTCTCTCTATCTCATTCTCTCTCTCAAATAAATAAATAAAATCTTTAAAAAAAAAAAAAAAAAAAAAGCAATAATCAGGGGGAATTTTTGGTTTGGAAACTGCTCTGGCCAGTGTGATGAGTCACTTTTGCTAAGGAGAAAGCAGTCTGGGCTGGGATACCCCTCACTTTCAGCATTTACTGGCTAAGGAATGCCTGGAGGGGAGGGAAAGTCAAAATTAAAGAGGGGTACACCTGGAAGGACTGGTTTTGTCTTTGAAGAGCCACTGATGATGTCCTTACCTTAAATCTACCTTCCCACTTTGATCCTATAATCCCAGGACCAGTCCCTATTAATCTTACTTAAAAAAAAAAAAAAAAATCCTACTGACGCTCCTGCTTTCCCCTGCCACCAGACTTAAAGCAAAGAAACTGAATAATATGGTGCCTGGGTGGCTCAGTTGGTTAAGTGACTGCCTTCAGCTCAGGTCATGATCCTGGAGTCCCAGGATTGAGCCCCATATCGGGCTCCCGGCTCAGCGGGGAGCCTGCTTCTCCCTCTGACCCTCTCCCCTCTCATGCTCTCTCTCTCTCAAATAAATAAATAAAATCTTAAAAAAAAAAAAAAGAAACTGAGTAATAAAGCCTGAGAGAGAGTAGTTTTAGGTGTTCTAGAATTATAAAGAACTCTCTAATGAGAATCAGTGACACACTGGCTAGGACAAAGATGTAATGTAATCTAAGAGTGGAAAAATGAGGTCCTAGGAAGAAAATGGAAGGGGGGAAAAACTCAGAAAAATATTCCCAGCTAAAGACTTTGAATTTTAGCCACTGG